CACACACAAAAAATGTTTTCTTTCGCTAGGTTTCCTTGTTGCTAGTTGCAATGATGCGATTTTAATAGTAATACTATTAGTAGTTTCAATGGTTAGTCATATAAGACTAATAAGGTGCGTAATTAGCAAAAAATGAAGAAAAATATTTAACATTGATCAAGCTTTAAAAGATTTGCATCAAAACATTGATAAAAGTATTCCTTTATTATTGATGCGGTCTCTTATTATCAATGTTGGGCATATTATTTAAATTTTATTATTAATAAGATAGTCAGTTATTTTATGACTTAAATTATGAATTTATTAGGCTTAGACATTTTTTTTCAAACTTCAATAATACTTTTTGTATTATTCAACAGTCCGATTATTTCATATGAAGGCCTATAATTACGCCCCTGTACGTATTTACACGATCTAACCATCAGGTGCTAATGAATCTACAAAATCTAATTAAAACGTTGGAGACGACTTTTTGTCGAATTTCTTGGCATCAGCCTTTGTCACTGTATTTTCAAATTATCCTCTTTTTCATTGGTAGATTGAAGATTTTTGCGTTGCGTTTCAAATGGAATTTCCATTATAGCTTCGGCAAGATGCCGTAATGGTTCGGTAGTTCAAAAATCTGTTTTAGATCTAATTTGCTTTCAGGAATTCCTATGAAAAAACGCTAATACATATCGATAGTTACAATTTTAGGGGTTTTTGTTTGTTTGTTTTCATGTTGTTGATGAATCTGTACATTGACTGCATAGCCTAGAGTTTTATAGAGTGGTTCAAATTTCTCAAAGAACCGTAATATTTGCAGGATGCGAGTAACAAAGTACCTGTAATTCACCGATTACTTTTAATTGCATTTTCCTGTCGATCTGTTGTACCTGAATGCAGAAAAAGTCAATTCGATTAAGTGCAGTACATGAAGTTAATTAAATATGTAGACGAATAATTAGTGTCAATGTTTTCAGGAATTTACGGCATTCCATTTCATGGACGAAATGCTCGTGACATAGAAAATCACCAGATTATTGCATTTGGTGTTTTAGATGTAGAGTTATTTTACAGCACATCTGTTTACGTTTGGTATTTGACCACGTAAGTATGCAACTTATGGGTAAATACTTTTTTATTATTATAAATTATATTCTTTTAGTATGTGATATAAGTAATGTAAACGTAAAGTAGTTGAGTAAATGGTTCAAAGAATAGAGTGCAATGATTGCTAACAACCTGGTACACGAGATGAAAATAAACGGGTTTCTTTCAACAAAATTTTTCAACTCTATGCTTAAAATATTTTTGTGCTTCTATAAAATTAAATTTTTCTTATGATGTTATTTTGCTGAGGCAATTTACTAAATGATTTTTCTCTATTTAAAGACCTTCGATAAGAAACGGAAGAAAATTTCGATTTTTCAGGGACATAATGAAAAAATGCTTTAGTCTAATGTGAAATTAAAAAAAAATTCTAGCTTTATGTGAGTGCACTCGCACTTTACATACGGACTTTTCCTCTCTTTTTGGTAAATTTCAGTTTGTTATTGGTTTTAGCACAATACTGAATATGTGTTTCTAAATATTTCTGATTGTTTCTAAGTTGCATTTTTAAATTATTCAATTCAATTTGACTCGAACTGTTCTATTGCGTTTTGGTTTAATCAATATACATTATTTCTAGTCTAGCATATTAACGTTGAATTGTATAGCATTGGTTTCATAATTTTTTATTTTATAATTGCATTTTGAGTAAAATTTTTCATGATGACAATTATTTTAGCTTACGGATGTGAATCAAAATTTATTTTACAATTGTGTTGATTTCATTCCTAGTCTCTTTCAAGTTTAGGCTGTTCATGAAGAATGAAAGAACTTTTGGAACTAGTTTATTTTTTCACCGAGGTAAGTTTAAAATTTACATGTTCATTTGATGTTTAATCCGATCATAAACTGATCTATTCCATTAATTACATTCTTATATTTTTATATGTTCTATCCACTTTGGAATCACTTATTTTTTCATCAAATATCTCTTTTATCAAAAAGAAGTCTTACATTTTAAATTGGGTTTTTAGTGTTCCACTTAATCGCAGATTCACTCATTCTCTATTAAATCGGATCTTTTAAGGAACGATAGCATCACAAGTATGCAGCAATAGTAATGATTTCTTAAACATTATTTATTTTCAATACATGATACCGATGTTACAAATAAGCACTAAAAAATACAACATTTTTATTTGAGCTTATTCAATGTGACGGATAAGGTATCTTATATAATCAATTGTCTTTTGCATTAACTACACATTTTTTTGCATTAAATGCGAGTGTTCGTTTGAAATTTGGCAAAATGTATGCGATGTTGAGAAAACTATTGTTTAAAATCATGTGTTCTGATGAAAAACTTTATATTAATTTATCTACTAATGATTAAATGCATATGGAATATTATTGGACTGCTTGTTGACTAACGCAAACTAAACAGAAATTGGAGCATTTTAACAATTTTGTAAGAATTGGAATAGGAACAAATCAAATTACCATTTTGAAGGAGAATTTTGAAGTAACATACTGCTTCAAAATCCTAATTCAGTATGAAGGGCCAAAAAAGCTGACATTTTTTTTATTAAAAAAAAATGCATGCAATGCATGTAACCCTTAATATTATTTTATAAAATAATAAATGACTTTTGTGTCTCTGATTTGGTAAGACATATTTCTCAAAAGTTACTATTTACAGTAAGTTTTTGTTATGGACATCTATGGATTATTTTGGGCATGTGTTTTAAACAGCATATTTGAACAAAATATGATCAGAATGGATTGTTACTGATACTTTGAGGTTTCAAGTTTATTTATTAACATTTGTTCTCAAGAATACTTCATTCATATATTTCGGTTTTCTTTTTATAGATTCCGTCTACATATTGTTTGTTACATTATTGTGAAATTGGTTTTTCAATATGTTTTTAAAAAGAGTTATGAAACTATACAAAATAAAGCGAATTTTTAAAGGTGTATTTGATAAGAGCCAAACGCGGTTTTTCAATTCACTTCTAAGCTCTCATCATGGTTTTATCGAAACGATGCTGGAGGTGCCATAATAAAGACATTTGCCCAGTTGATAATGTCGGCTATAGAGGCGAAATAAGAGCAAGAAAAGAGCAAAGATAGCGCTAATGTGCCACAGCCGTCATATTCCCATGCACCTTTATAAATAACTATCATTAGCCATTTCTTGCTGTAATACACGATTCCTTCGAGGGTGGTTCTTTCTTTTATGGATATACGTATTTTCATTATGTCGAAATGGCTTCATATATTTCAATCAGCGTTCTGTTATCTCGGTATTTGTGGGATTTTTGCCATCTAGGAGAAATAATCGGCTATTAGATAAGGGTCGGATTGAAAATGTATTCTTTTGCATAAGACCACTCGTATATTTTAGCATTCTGAATCGTGATTTATTTTGAAATAATCTCCGCTTGGACTTTTAAATAATTAACTATAGCCAAAAATCCGTAACTGATGAAAAGTACAGTTTTCCAAGGGTATAATAATTGAAATTTGTTGTAAGCCTTCTTATCTTTCGGGTTTCAAGGAGCCTACAAAACTTAAACATTTTTTATTCATATCGCGGTCTCTATAAATATAAACGCTAAAATTTCTCTCTTCTCATTGCTTTAAAAAGTTGGTTACAAAAGATACATTTTAAAACGCAAATGAAAACCATAAACATGGTTTAAAAATTGTTTTAGCACCTATAAACAACATTGAGAAACATACGAATTAAGATGGTTAAAGTGAGAAGTAAAAACGTATTTTTTTTTACAAAAATCTCTCGAAATAATTATTTTCCGTATTTTTATGGGTGCTCATGAGTTTTGAATTTGTTGCACCGTTCTTAGATGGGACAAGGTTATTAATCAAATTGCGATTATTACGACATAATGTTGATTACGAAAATATACTACAACATCAAATCCGTTTTAGTAGACAAATCGTATACAAAATTTGAATTTTTTAGATTACGTAATTCTAACTCCGATTTTCAGTGTTGCTCTAATTTGATGTATTATAATTTCATTTATTAATTACTTTATTTGATCGATTTTGCCCAATATTTTACATTAGTGTCGATATACTCATACATTTTTCACTAATAGTAATGCTCTCTATTTGAGGCACAAGTAAATACTAATTTTAA